TTGTAAAATAGTCTAACATAGTCTCATAATGATCTTATCTTCTGAGGTAGCATTATTTGCTAGGGAAATTAAATATTCTGTCTACAGTTAGCTATCAAGTGACAGAGGCAGAATGTCAATTCTATATTTTCAGGCTTCCATGATCTTTCACTCTACCAACCAGATTGGTTTGATGTTCCAATTTGTCAGAAAGGCAAAAGAATTCATATCAAAATACTGAGAAGTAGTCAGTCTCTCCATCTTCTCAGGGGGAGAGAAAAAGAAGAAAATACATACTAATTCAAAAGCTCTTTACCCCATTTCTTAGATCAGGTTGAGTGCCCCTGTTTTATTTATTTGTTTGTTTGTTTGTTTAGGGTCTGGTCATGAGGCCTGAACTCTGGGCCTGGGCGCTGTCCCTCAGCTCTTCAGCCCAAGGCTAGCACTCTACCACTGAGCCACAGCACCACTTCCGTTTTTTTTCTTTTTTGTTTATGTGGTGCCCAGGAATCGAACCCAGGGCCTCATGCATGTAAGGCAAGTGCTCTACCAATGAGCCACCTTCCCAGCCCCAAGTGCCCCTGTTTTAATATAGCCTTCTCTGCTGTAATCCAGGCCTCTTTTTTTTTTTCTGACTACCTCAAAGTCTTATAGTCGAGTTCACTCTATTAGCACATGACAGTGCCAAACTTTTTGTTCTTGTCTGTGTATTTTTATTTCCTTAAAAGCATATGAGCCTTCCAAAGCAAATACTATAGTTTCTTTTCCCACTGGAAAACATCCAAGACTTTCACTGATGCCTGAAACTAGTTATACTATGCTTTTTCCTATATATACACATTTAGAATAAAATTTATTAAGTGATGTAAGCCAGACCTAAAGAAATATAGGTTGCATGTTTTCCCTCATTCATAATAATTTGAATGTGCCTAGAAATCTACAAGTAAACCCAATGGATAGTAAAAGACAAAAAAATTATACTTAGGCATGATAAATTAAACAGGACTCTAAACATTCACACAGTGAGAACAAAGGAGGATATTCTTAGGAGAGGATCACAAGGGCTCAATGTCTATGTGCATAGGATCATATAAAATGCTTATTGAAATGAACTCCAAGAAATGGAAACAGAGGTTTTTTTTTTAACTGTACTGTTTGCAGTTCTTTCTTTCCTGTTGCTTCCCTTTTGTCATTGTTTTTTGATTTTTTGTACCTTTTGTCTTGTATGTAAATTTATCTTATTTGAGGCAAAGAAGGGAAAACACAGAATGGTGGGACAAAGACTGAACTAATTCAGCATTGATATTCACTAGACACTATGTTAAAATGAAAGAAGGGTTGGGAGGGAAAGAACTGGGAGAAAATGAGGGAGGAGTGACACTGTTCAAAAAGAAATGTACTCAATACTTATGTAACTGTAACTCCTCTGTACATCACCATTACCATAAAACTTAGTTAGAAAAAAACAAAAATGGGGCTGGGAAGGTGGCTCAGTTGTAGAGTGCTTGTCTTGCATGCATGAGGCCCTGGGTTCGATTCCAGAGCACCACATAAGCAGAAAAAGCCGGAAGGACACTGTGGCTCAAGTGGTAGAGAGCTAGCCTTAAGCTGAAGAGCTCAGGCACAGCCCCAGGCCCAGAGTTCAGGCCCCATGACCAACAAAAAAAAAAAGTTTAAGTTAAAATTGAACAGAGTAAGGGTGACAACAATATCAAAAATAGAACAATGATATCTATAGACTCTAATGAAAGTTATGTGAATGTAGCTCTCTGTCTTTACCTCCTCACTATCAAATATCTTATTGTCCTTATTGTCCTGTGTTCATCCTTCTTGTGATGTTCCAAGATGATGCAATGCCTGCATCACATGGTGAGTGAGGGGAATGGCATAGGCGCTGTGTCATAGGATGATGCTGCCACATAAGGCTTCGTTAGATTCAAGCACTGTCATATTACGACAATCTGTCTGATCTCTGAGATGACTATTAAGTGACTATTGGGTGGATAGCATATGTGATATGGATATATTGGGAGTTCCATTCCAGGCAGGATGGAGCAGGAGGGCATAAAGCTCCTCAGGATGGTATGCAATTTAAAATGTGTGAATTATTTATTTCTGGATTTTTCCATTTAATATTTGGGGACCATGGTTGACCACAGGTAACTGAAACTATGGGAAGCAAAGTTCCAGGTAAGAGTAGACCTCTGTTCTCTATACTTTGCTGATGCCTAGTAGCAAACTTATGCAAAATTCGGATCATAAAAGAACAGTAATCAATATTTAATCCATATTGTAATGAAAGGAATTCACATACAAAGAAAATGTAAATCATAAAAGTAATTTTTAACCTGATCAAGATGCACTGTACTCATAGCCTGACATATGGAATTATAACTTCTTTGTACAACCACTTAATAATAATCATAATAAATTTAACCTCTATTTATGATCTCCAAGTCCATATTGCTTTTGATGAGAAAGACTGCTATAATTTTTCAATGTTTTGTTTTTTAAATTTTATTCTTAATTGACACATAATTATACATATTTATTGGGTACAGTGTGATATTTTGATATATGTATATGTTTTATAACAATCCAGTTTACATAATTAGCAGATCCATGACCTAAACATTTATTGTTATTTTGTGAGAGCATTCAAAATCTAGCTATTTTTTTGAAGCGTACAATGTCTTACCATTGACTATAGTTACCAGCCTGTGCAATAGAATGCAGAACTGATTCTTCCTTATTCTGAATGTATATACTTAACCAATCCCTTCCAACTCTTCTTGCTCCTACTCTCTTCAGCCTCCAGTAACCATTATGCCACTCTATTTCAATGAAGCTAACTTTTAGATTCTACCTAAGAGTGAGGTCATGTGGTCTTTGTTTATCTGTCCTGGCTCTTTCACTTTGATAATATTTTTCAAACATTCTACCTTCCCTAATTATGTCATTGGTCAACTCATTTGTAAAACACTGTAAATCCGGGGATCAGAACTGATTGTGTTTGGATATCAGCACTGGAACTTAATTGTTGGCTACCCTTGAACAAATCGCTTGCCTCTCTGACCCTCAGATCCTGCAATTGTAAACTAGAGATAATCACAGTACCTAGCTCATAGGCTTTAATAGAATAATATATGTAAATTAGGCAGAATGATACTTGGCAACTCATTTGCATTCAGTAAATACATATTATCTTTCTTCCACTAATCCATGCTCAAAGTCTGTTTTGATCTTTTCTAATTTACATGTAGGAAATAAAGAATTTGTTGGCAATAACTAAGATATGAGCAGATCCATCTTCCTCTGAAATGTGTTTGTCATATTTCCATGCTTTTCTCTCAATTACTTATACCCCCTACTAGACCTTTTCCATGCCCTCTCTACTATCTTCTACTGCTAAAGCTTTTGTTAGCCAAGTTCAAATATTAATATTTTCCTTCATCCTTTCAACTGAAGCATTGTCTCTTCTAGCTCACTCTCTGTGTTATCTTTGTTCGATGCCTCTTGCACAACAGATCACATTCTATTATAGACTTTACTGCCTTGTTGAATGTAAGTAAAGTGCTAAGACTTTCCCTTCCCCCCTGAAACGCATTCAGATTTCTGTGTGAAATGATTTTTTTTCTTTTATTTGGGACCTAAGTATCTTCTTTGCACACTGAAATTCATTCTGGATTCCAAGGACCTTTTTCACTTGTTTGGGGAACATCTGAATGTCTTACTTCACTGGAAAAAATAAAGGGCTACAGGAGCCAGTTTTGAAAGGCTCTAGAAATCCCTAGAGTAACAGCAGGCATTTCTTCTTTGATATGTAAGGGACTTCAAATGAAAAGCACTCATCAGATGATGCTAAGAAGACTAGTTAATGGGCCCCCTCAACATAAGTGACACAAAATGCTATACAGTTTTTGGAGGGAAGCTTATGCGTTCTTCCTACTGCTAGGAAAGGGTAAAATTAGGCAGAACCTCCATGCTGGCCTACCCCTCCTTCATATTAGCATCTTGACTTGTGTCAAATTGTTATGAGAGTAACCCCACACTCCTAGCCTAAGGGCTATACCCTGTGTTTACCTTTCAAAAGTTTTTCTTATTCTTCTCCTACATCTCCATTGAAGCTTACAGCTCTGTTTACTTCTCTTTTGATCCTAAAGCCAAACATTTCCTCTTATAAATCAGAAGTTTTTTTTTCTTTCAATTATTGCATCTGATGTGAGTTTCAAGCACAAAACAAACAAAGCAGCATACCTTTTCTCTCTGTTCCAAGAATTCTGATTCTTTTGAGAATTGCTTTATGGATGCCTCTGACTGGATAAAAAAAAGTGCCAGATGCAAAGAGCAAAAGATAAAATCACCAAGTTTGACATTTCAATGGAATATATATGATACGACAATGTAATATTTGATATGACTTTATAGTACAGATATGTGCCTTATTCACATATCTTCTGAAAATTGTGAACTCCTTCATAGAGTTTAACCTTGTCTCTCTGTGTATGTTCTCCAGGTACCTAACCTAATGTCTTGCACAAAGTAAATAGTAAATATTTGTTGAATTGAAAAAGAATAATATTGTGTTTCTAAATCCAAGCACAAAAACCACACAGAATAAATTGGTGTACACTAAACTCAGACACTGAAATTTGCTAACCAATTGAGCTGGAATTGTAAACCAACAGTATCTTTTAAATTAAAAACATGCTAAGAATTGTATTAGCCTTGTTAAGAATCAGGGTACATCATATTACAAATTCAAATGTTTCTTAAGTACCTTGCTGGAAGTCAACATTCACCCCCAAATAAATTACGATTCCTTTGATTAATTCTGTCTGTGCAACCAATTCAAGAACAAATTTTATGTAGAACTGAAGGATATTAAACAGCAAATTAAATTTGGAAAAGTATTTCCCCTCATTTTTAGATAGGTAAGACCTTAACTGTTTGATGTAGTTCACCTTTTTTACTGCAGCATGCTTTTTCACTATTGCTATTTTTGTTTTGTTTTTATTCAGGTGACAAAGGAGAAAAGGGGTTGCTTGGCATGCGTGGGGGAAAAGGCAAAGCAGGTATGAAGAGTTCATTTTTTCTTAGACTTCTGATATCATCCCAAATGAATATCCTTTTTAAAGAAAAGCAAAAGCCCTTTCTGTATTTAACATTTACCTTGAAGAGAGGAATAATGAGAATCTTCCTTTCTACATATGGATGACTTTCCAAGTCCTGAAGAAGAGACACACTCTCCATCCCTGAGAAGCTCAGTGTGAAAAGCAAACCCAGCACAACAGAAAACACTTCCTCCTCTCCAGGACCCCAAGGAGAGTCTACACCAGAGCCTGCCCATACCTTATTTTTCCTAGCATTTCAACCAAATACTGGCTGTGGTTGGCCCACCCACAAGCTGGCTTGACCTAGAAAGGACTCCTGGTTACAGCTACCTGCTCACCATGGACCAGATAGAGTCCCTCACTTAGTCCAAGGGTCTTATTTCCAATGTGTTACATGAGGAAAGAAGGTAGATTATTTGGGGACATTTCCCTTGTTTACTTTCACCCTGATCTAGTGAAGACTAATTGGAGGAACCGTTTTACATTCTTTGTACTTACCTAAAACACTGTATAAGTTAAACCTCATATTTATTTTTCTCCTTGGCCAAAAACCATTTGCTTTTACTTTTCATATTACTAATGGAGGGAAAAGAGGAGATTTACATGAACCAACCATGAATTTTAGATCATTTGTCCCCGCATTGCTTTTCTCTCACACTAATGGTGCTGAGTAGCTGGAAAGCTAGATGAGGAAAGAAAATCAATGACTACTTAAAGTCACAGTTAACTCACAGACTGGACTTCTGGCTTTTCAAATTGTAAACTCAATCTCTATACAGGATTTTAACAGTCCTTGAAATGTGCAAGCTATACTTCATATGGGTAACCAGAATTAACATTTGATTCAATCACGAAAAGTTTCTTCTATCTTGGGAGAACCGTGTGAGCTAGTGAATAATGCAGTAACAGAACAGAAGTCTGGTCGCAAGCATGTTTGGAGGAAGCTGTAGAGAAATTTATTCTGAGGTTGAACAGACAAGTTCTGTGTTCAACAAATATGACAAATGGTCTACAAAGTGTGTGTGGGTTTATCATATTTATTCTCCTTTTTAAAAAAAATCTAGTTTGGAATGCTTTTTACCTTATTTCAAACATTTAAAAAGGTATTTTCTGAATTCCTAAAACATAAAATAAATTAAGAAATCTTACTTAACTTAAAAATGTTCAATATAGACTCATTTCCAGAACAATCTTGTAAGGCTTGAAAAAGAGAGAAGATACTAGAAAGAGAGAAAATGTTCGTTCCAACTGGTCTGCCTCCCAACATGAATTCCCTATTCTTGTCATTTACAAGGTACTATCTGTGATTGTGGAAGATACCGGAAAGTGGTTGGACAACTAGATATTAGTGTTGCTCGGCTGAAGAAATCCATGAAGTTTGTCAAGAATGGTAAACACATTTTTCTTTTGTTTTGTGCTATATATCTATTGGTTTAGTCTTTCAAAAGCACATTTCCTAGATGGAAATACCTGGGTTGGGCAAAAGCCCATTGAAATAGCATCTCTAGCTTAAAGGCTCTTAATTATCCACTCAGACTCCAGGATAGATTCATGTGTACACATGAATTCATGTGTACATTGCCTACAAGCAGACAAAGGTATTTTCCTAAGAGAAGGGAATGGAGAAAAGAGACAAATTTAGCGAGCTATAACTTAGGATGAAAAAGTGATAAGCCAGGCCCAAAGAAACATAGGTCCCATGGTTTCCCTTATTTGCAATATCTAGTATATCTAAGAGTCAAGCGGAAAAGGTCAGATAATGTGATGTCAGGAAAATGAACCCTTAGATATGTATCTTAATGTTTTTTTCTTTCATGCATGTGTTTCTAATGTTTTGTATGTCCTTCCCCACAGTATAACCCTTGCTTTCACTATATTTGATGTCAGTATAACTTGAGGAGGAGATGGGGAAAAACCAGTTGTTTAAAGATACAGGTGGACCTGTTGCAACAATGAGAAGTACAAGTTGTCATGTCCAAAACGAGCTTTACAACGTTGGTGCGGGGGGGGGGGGGGGAAGGGGAGGAAGGAGAAAGATTGGGATTGGGGGGGAGGGGGGAGGCTGGGAAGGGATGTGAAGGGTAAACAAAAGGAGGAGGCTGCAATGCTTGGTAAGAAATGTACGCATTATCCTGCCCATGTAATTGTAACCCCTCTGTACAGTATCTTCACAAATAAAAGAAAAAAGAAAGAAAAAGTGATAGCAAGAGTCACATAGAGATTCTATTTGAAAAAAAGGAGAAATGGTAATGACAACATTAACTACTTTGTTAAGTACTTGGAATAGTTTATAACTAATACCACTGCCTCATGAGACTTTACAATAATTGTCATGATAAGGGTACTATGCTTAAATTGATCCTTTTAAAAGAAAAAAAGCACCTAGTTCATAGACACACACCTAGTGAACAGTGGAATAGAAATTTGGTCCTTGTTCTTCAACCAATAATGCAGATATCAGTATGAACTGGGGCTTCTCTAAGTTTTTCAACTTAGCCATTTTCATTAGCCGTTGTCCATTTCCTCCATAATAATGAGCAGTAAAGTCCTTAAATTAAATTAAAGTCCTTAGGTATTTTATTCTGAAACTGTTCTTAAGGGCCCTGTTGTAGTTACTATTACAAGTGATTTCATTTTGTAATATTTTTACTTAGTGTTGTCCTGATATATATATTCATATATATATATATATATACTATATTATATGTTATATATTATTATATTATTGCAAGCACAGGAATACTGTCTTGTGCTCATAGCCATCTTGTAATGTTAAAGACATAGCAAATACTCTGTTATTTAGTCACTTTAATTAAAGCTCTGGTTATAATGCATATTGAATTTTCTATGTCTGATATGATATAGACTCTGCCAAGAATAAGCCAGACCACATAGGTACAATGTAGAAAAGTTAGTTTGCCACATTTTACTGGTTATGGATTTCTGTGTGAATACAAGTTATGGATTCCAAAATGTACATATAGATGTCCAAGTGTGCATGCCCTCATAAGAGCTCAGGATGATTCTGGGTCGCTAGTTCTCACCTGAAGCTCAGTCTGTAGCTCAGTGTTCCTGCTGTACCAGGATGAAGTAAGGATGATCTCAGTCCACATACGTGTTCACAATACAGGAAAGGGCCCCAACATGGCACATACTCACCTGTATATTATTTTATAGCAGTTCAATAAGCATTTTCTATCTCCTGGAATGTTCCAAGCACTGAAGTTGAGGAGTTTCAAAGACATGGACATTGTCTTGACATATTCATGGGTGGGTAGAGGAGACACAAATGCAAACAGTTAGCATGCTGAGTGCTCTGCGAGAGGGAATGGAAGGACCCGGGCCCAGGGATGCGTTCCCACCACTGCTAAGCGCAGAATCCACGTTCACGCAGATCTAACAGACAAGTCAAAATCTGACAGGTAAAGTGTCGTAAGAAGACTTTCCAGACATCATAGTGATGGAAATGAAAGAGAGCCTGGTTTGGGGAGAATATGGACAAATAGAATAAACATGATGATTACAAAAACAAAGAAGCAATCAAATGAGTGACGACCTCACAACAGGGTCTCGCAAAATGAATTCCTGAATCCTAAATAAAGAAATTTAAATCTGCTGATATTATGGATGCCAATGCCTTTTCTCTTTTCTAGATGCATAATGCTATTTTTCTCCTCCCTGCAGTCATAGCTGGGATCAGGGAAACTGAGGAGAAATTCTACTACATTGTGCAGGAGGAAAAGAACTACAGGGAATCCCTGACCCACTGCAGGATCCGAGGTGGGATGCTAGCCATGCCCAAGGATGAAACAGTCAACAACCTCATCGCTGACTATGTCTCCAAGAGCGGCTTCTTCCGGGTGTTCATTGGGGTTAATGATCTTGAGAGGGAAGGACAGTTTGTGTTCACTGACAACACTCCATTGCAGAACTACAGCAACTGGAAGGACGGGGAGCCCAGCGACCCGTACGGTCAAGAGGACTGTGTGGAGATGCTCAGCTCGGGCAGGTGGAATGACACTGGATGTCATCTCACCATGTACTTTGTCTGTGAGTTTGTCAAGAAGAAAAAATAAGTTCCTTTACTGCCTACGTAATTTCGTCTTTCTCTATGACTTACCACCACCTTTATTTTTATCCATCCTTGTCTTTCCAATTATACTGTTTGTTCTGATGCAAAGCACCCAAGAAACTTGAAGCTGAGCTTTGCATTTTCCATCACCATGCAATGCATTGACACAGTTGATGTTCTCATACGTATCATTGACCCCATAGCACACCAGGTCCAGAGGAAGAGAGTTTGGATGAATGAATGAATGAAATGAATGAATGAATCTCTGTCTACATCTCACACGGAATGTTCTGGTTTCACTGGCTCTACCAGTTCTACATTGGTTGGTGATGTTGATGATGATTAGGCTAACTGGCTGTTGCTCAGAAGTCAGACATAAATAGGAAGGCCTCCTGTGAGGGAAGACAAGGTATTAGCTATCTTGGAACTTGATTGTTTGGCCCATCACACATTATTACAGTAACCATCCTTGAAAGTTCCCCATTTTATATAAGAATGCCTCAACCCTAGACCTTTGAGTGACCTTAGAGTAATTTAGAGGCGTGCTCTAAATCACATGGATCCCAAAGTCTGTCTTTATAGCTTCTGCTTAACATGCAGCCATTTTCTTTGGGCCTCAAACTTCAACTCAGATCCCTTAACAGTACTGCTGTGACTTAAGTCAAAGGGAATTCTCAAAATCAAATGGAAAAAAGCAAAAGACATTTGTGCCTATACAGAATATTTTGTCTCCTTCACACTACCTGTCCCTCACTAGTCACTTGGCTCTGTTTTTCATTATCATGAGTTTATTCATATAGACTTTCCTCTCTTAGAGCATGGAGAATGAGGTAAGGGAAGGTTGTAGAGCCTTCATGAAATTCTGTAGGCTTCAAGTTGCTACTCTAGTTAAGCCTCCAGGCCCCTCCTCCTTGTTTGTAAAATGTCACTCATGGTGAGCACTCGTGAAATGCCCTGTACTCCTCATATATTTATATTTTATAAACTGCATACTAGTGATATCCTTTCTGCCACTTTGACATATCATAGAAATGTTCCAAACTATTTGGAATTTGGAACATTAGTAGAATCTACATGTACTGAATCAGTAGAATTCTACCCTGACCGGCAGAATCCACCTCAATAATGCTTTTATTTTGCATTCAATAAAACAATTCAATGAAAGACTACAGTATCTCCTTATGAACTAAGGTTTCAGCTGTGGTTTGTGACATATGATTAGCCTGTTTAAAGTGCTGGAAAAATGTTAATAAGAGAAATAGATCAACAATGTATGCTCTCCTTAAACCATCCAGGGGTAATAGTTCACATGACTAAATGGTTTTGAGATTGATTTTAATGAAGTTAGTTCTGTGGGTTCAACATGAGTCAAAATTTCAGATCGTGAAGGAGTCAAATGATGTATCTAAATATAGTAAAACAAGTAAGGGTCTTACTATACTGAACACAGCTGTCCTTCTGAAGGAGATAATGGTTTCTCAGCTGCTGCTTTGTTTCTATGAAGGAGCTGGTGTTGCTATGTGTCTGACACTTCAGCAGAAGTCAGAAAACTGGAACACTGTATATTTTTAAATGCTAAATATTGATCATTTTTTAAAATTTTGAGTCATATAAAATTCTATTAGCCAAAATTATGAGCTTTCCATTTTTTGACCTCTGGGGAAAAGTTGTGAACTTCTAATCATATAGATTGTCATTAGCATATGATGACATCAAAATCAAGGGCTCCCATGAATACCCTATTCAACTCAGCCAAATAATAGAAACTTGTTAAATGTTTAACATTTATCAGGTTATTGAACAAGTGGCTTAGTCTCTCTTTTGAGAATATAGCATAGGATATGTGGAAAGCTGGCAGTTTAATGATAAAACAAGATACCAAGTTCAGCGTCAATATCCTTCAGAATGTCAGTCAAGATCATGAGAAGAAACATGAAGGGAAAGTAAAGGATCAAAGAGGAGAGAGGGAAGAGGCAGCCCCCATGGTCTAGGGTGGCCTCCCATTAGGATCTGTATTCCTACCAATCCTAAGTTCACTAACGTCTGAATATGTTTTGAGAATATTTCAACTTGCTACCATATATGCTATGAATATTATATTAATGGTGGGTTCTCTCAATCACTCATCTTTGCTGTGGATACTTCTGAGAGAATACTACCAAGCTTCAAAAGATGAAATGTATCATGGAACGTTGCTTGGAAGAATTTTTTTTTAAGTTATAGCTTTTTTAATGTCAATATCCAGCTGTATGAATTACTTGCCATTATTTATTTGCATTATTAAATGTACTATTATTTCATAAATGACAAATGAGCACCAAGTAATATTCATATTCTTCACGTCATCTGTTATCAGTCCTCTTAAGTCCTTTGCATTATGCTTAAAGTTGTTACATAGAAACATAACTTTTTAAGAACTTGAGGATATTGCAACCCCTATCAATATCAGAATTACCCAAGCTTGAATTTTCCAAGTTTTAAAAATGTTTTTTTCCCAAAATAACTGAATTCCATAGTTACTGGCTTTTGGTATTAGTGAGTAAACAGACTACATTCTCTTTATTGTAATAAGTAATCAGGATTTTAGCATGCTAATGACTGTTTTGAATCACCAAGAAAGAATAGATAATTGTAACACAATTTTCTCAAACTTATTTAACCAAACAATAATTTTAAATGTTGTTTCTTCAGAATATTGTTTATTGGCACTTACTTTTGTGAGGCTTATATTAATCAAGTTAATGGAAGATTAAAAGAGACAGGCCTTGTAGGGTTAGCTTGAATGAGATAATGATATATTGTGATAGCATTGCCTTGAAATCCAACTAAACTCTAAATTTCTTTTTTTTGGGGGGGAGGTCCGGTCGTGGGGCCTGAACTCTGGGCCTGGGCGCTGTCCCTCAGCTCTTCAGCTCAAGGCTAACGCTCTACCACTTGAGCCACAGCACCACTTCAGGCTTTTTTCTTTTTGCTTATGTGGTGCTGAGAAATCGAACCCAGGGCCTCATGCATGCAAGGCAAGCACTCTACCACTGAGCCACCTTCCTAGCCCTCTAAATTTCTTTATTAACAAAAATCCAACACTACAAAACCACAGTGCATTTACCACATCAGAATTGACTACAGTGAATTTCCTAGGACAACAAAAAGGAGTACTTTATTTAAGTTGAGTCTTTGGATTAAAAAAATGCTTGGGAGAAATTTTGAAGGCACTCTACATTTAATTAACATTACTGTGCAAATGTAGTATTTGTGTTTCATAAAATACATTTGCTTATCATAAAATGAAGTATTTATGTTTCATAAAATGCCTTTGCATGTCATTTCTCATTTGATCCTGATAAAGTCTATGAAGTATGAGAGACAAGCATTTTCCTGCCATTTTCTTTTGTATATTTTTATTGTAAAAATACTGTACAGAGGGTTTAGAGTTATATGAGCAGGGTAATGAGCACATTTCATAGTGAGCGTTGTTACCTCCTCCTTTGTTTTCCCTCAACCATCACTTCCCCCTCCCCATCCTCCCAACTTCTCCTGCCCGCCACCCCCTGACCCTGGGATTGTAAAGTTCTTTTTCAACATAGTCTCCTTTACATCTCATCATCACAGTGGGTCAACCTGCATCCCCATTTAAGCAGTCTGCTATACCCTTTCCCCTCTCCAAATTGCCAAAATGTATATGGAAGATGCAGAACACCGGAATCAAATACAGTGAAAACAGGGGTTATACCATGGAGGAAGGACATACAAAAGAAACAAAAAAATCACACAGTGCATTATAAATACATTAAAAACAATAACAAGAAAGAAAAAAACCACTTGTGTTCCTGTCTTGAGGTACATTTTGCTTAACATTGTCTCATGTGGTCATATGTACATAGCCTTTAACCTACACTGCTTGTCTTATACAAATACTAGTCATTGCAAATAAGGGAAACCATGGGACCTATGTTTCTGGTTTACTTCACTTAATATAATTTTTCCAAGTCTTTCTATTTCCTAATCCCTGAAAACATTACAAGAAGGAATAGGAGAAACTCTAAGGCTCCTTGGCACAGGCTGAAATTTTCTTAATAGAGACCCAGAAACACAACAAATCAAAGAAAGGTTGGACAAATGGGATTACAAGAAACTGCAGAGCTTCTGCAAAGCAAAGGACATAGCTAGCAAGATCAACAGAAAGCCCACGGATTGGGAGAAGATCTTCACTAGCCATACAACAGACAAGGATCATATCTAAAATACACTTAGAACTCCAAAAACTAAATCCCCCAATAACAAATCCTCAAAGAAGCAACTGCCTGTTTAATTAAGACTGAAAGAGAAACTTCTCTGAAGAGTAAATAAGAATGGCCAATAGACACATGAAGAAATGCTCAACTTCTCTAGCCATAAAAGAAATGCAAATCGAGACAACATTGAGATTCCACCTCACCCCAGTTAGAATGGATATAATCAAGAAACCTAGTAACAACAGATACTGGAGGGAATGTGGCCAAAAAAAAAAAAAAACCTACTGCATTGTTGGTGGGAGTGTAAACTTGTTCAACCACTCTGGAAAGCAGTATGGAGGTTTCTCAAAAGACTCCACATAGAGCTCCCTAATGACCCAGCAATCCCACTTTTGGGCATTTACCCAAACGATTACAAGATCATACCAAGGCTACCAGGACAACCATACTTATCCCAACATTATTTACCATAGCTAAGATATGGAACCAACCCTGATGCCCTTCAGTAGATGAATGGATCAAGAAAATGTGATATGGAATTCTATGCCTCCATCAGAATGACATTTCCTGCCATTTTCTAAATGAGAATACTGAGGCCCCAAATAAGCAAAGAGTTAACTTGGTCAACTCACTGACAACCAAGTTAGCCCTTCCTCCCACTGATGGAAACTGCCCATCCAGTGTTCTTTCCAACCTCTCCATTGCTCTTATATTCAATGGAAGTTCATTCCTAGTACTTTGTAATAGCAAAAGTTCAAATAATCTATCTCTACTACATTCCAAAGTGAAAGATGAGAGATA